ACATGGCAGAAGAGGCATCAAAACAAACTAAGGAAATGCTTGCAGGCTTGCTACTGATGTGCCGGTTTATGGAAGCAACTGATAATCTGAGTATATGGAACCGATTGTGAAGAAGAAAAAGAAGAAATAAATATACCACATTCTTTTATGGCAAGTTTTACTTTGGGAAAAACTGTATGAGATAATAATAAACACTTACACTACAGTAAAGAGGGTAGAAAAATAAAGCTGTATCCTTTATCATTGCAGACAAAACACAGTTTATATCAGTACCTCTCAACCTTCCCAATGCCGCGACCCCCAATCACACGATTATTTGTGTTATTTTCTTTGCATACTTCATAACTTCAGTGAATATGTGTTTTCCGATGTCTTTGGCGATCCCTATGAAAGGGGCATTCGACCCACAAAAGGGTCGCGAACCACAGGTTAAAAACCGCTGGTTTATATCACATCATTTCATCCATAAGGAATATCAGTGCTAATCTATAGTGAATCAAAGAACACTTCGTACAATCATCTTCATTTGTGTCCCAGGATATGCTGGTGTGAAAGGCAACTAGAGGGCGGATGCCGGCAATGCCACCCTGGAAAGTGAATGGACATAATTAATGCTACCCGAGAGACAACAAGGGTGAGGCTATTGGATTCTCTCAGGTGTGAATTCTAGGTTTACCAGTCGGATCAGCGCATATGTGTGTGAAAACCACGCAAGAACTGACAGCTGCTACAATATCCAGACCAGAACAGGAGGAAACAGCACAAACACATCAAGAAATATATTAACAGTAGACTGGAGAGCTCTTGGGTATGTGTGACGTGCAATGAGAATGAACCAGAAATAAACAATGAATCAAGGGCACTCTAAAATATTCTTCAGTGAACCAATGGTACTCTAACCCTGAGTGAATCTACTGTTACATTAATGCTTTCAGTCCCAGTGGACAGTTAAGTCTGTTATGAATCAAAGTATGGTGAACTCTTTGGTATCCAAAGAGTTTTTATGTGAACCAAGAGTGCATTAAGTTATCCTTTAGTGCATCATAGATATGCTCAATCAATTTTAAGTGAATCAAAGACATTGCATATTTTCTTCAGTGAAACAAAAAATCCATTTATTTAGTGATTTGAGGATATACTCAATTATGCAGAAAGACTATATGATAAAGGATATACTCAAATAATCAGAGAGAGACCAGATGATAAAGGATATACTCAATTATCCAGAGAGAGACCAGATGATAAAGGATATACTCAAACATCCAGAGAGAGACCAGATGATAAAAGATATACTTAAATATCCACAGAGAGACCAGATGATAACCATGACAGATAGCCATGAATGAGAGAACAGCCTTCTAAAAGCTTGGCCAGAAAAATCTATTAACACCAAGAGGCAGGAGAAGGCCGAGAAGAACACAAATAGAAGGAGTCAGTGACACCTTGAGACTGCATAACATCACGGGATATCAAGCGACCAAGCTAGCCCTGGCTTGGTTGCCAATCATCTGATGAACTGTGACGATTAGTGGCATAAGCAGATATTGACCACACAAAAAAAGAAGAAAAAATGGTTTACAAGAAGCAGTGGTTGTCTGACACTGTAAGAATTATACACTATTGACTATAGACATCAGATAATAAGTAAGAAGTTAAATATGGTCAAAGATAATTTTTAATGTGTATGTCATAAAATGATCAACAACAATTTTAAAAAAAAAATAAACATCTTTCTCATCTCACTTGTTCATGTGCATAATGTATATTTGGTTTTTATTTTATTTTTAAAGTGTGTGCACCAACAATAATCAAATAGTAACATCATGAGCTCTGCCCTATTTCGATAATACGCTCCCAGTGTTGAGACCCCCACATAAAATTCTATAAGCTTAACCAAAGAACTCTCTTCTTATATTTTTTTTTATCCTGAAAGTAAGAAATACATATTTTAAAAACATTCAGTGTATAAGACAATCCACCAATTTTAATTTTGTAAAATTGGGAAAACACATAGTTTTATACATAGACAAATACAGTGTGCTGTCTAAACCTTTATTTTCCCTAATTTTTTTCTTACTCTGTTTGCAAAAATCACACTGCCGGCCAATATTGCATGTATGTACCTCATTTTTAAGGATGGTGTAGGACAGGGAAGACCTGAGGATGAGGATTTAGGGCCATTTGGTTAGTACAATCAACACAGACTATGCTGGTTGGGATTTTAATTTTGCCCGGCCAAGAAAAGTTCATCCCCTGACTAAAACTTTGAAACTAGGACTTCCTTATGAGAGGCCAGTGTTCTTAACAACTCAGCCAGCTGCTGTTTGCAATAATCAACACCAGGGTTATTCAACTGGTGGACCAGGATTTTTTTTAAATGTGGCCCAGGGAAGCCTAGCAGGCGACCCAAGGATCATTGCCAGTTGTACTGTATTAAGGCTCTTTCTACGCTGGGGCTCACTTATCTGGGCGATGATCCACATTTGCAAAACTGGGCCGATTTACGTTTTCCGCCCCAAAAGAGAGTGACTTCTCTTGCTATTCATGAATCGGTGCATCACAGGGCTTGTTCTATGTTGCGGGGGTATCGGACAGTGACCGACTACCAGCACGCAGCATTTTACTAGTTGTTGTAACTGGACAGCGATATCACATGTTGTATATTCCAGAGAGTGTAGCTTACATCCCATGAATGCATGCAGCCTAGGTCGCATGACTGTATGCAGCGAATATTACAGGCTGTATGCAGTCGTGCGACCTAGGCTGCACTCTCTCGTGGCATGTAAGGGGTTGGGGGTTAGGGGCAGTTCTGCAGGTTTCAGGACCCTTTCGCTGGCCGGTGACAAAGCATGACATCCCTGCAACACAGGACAAGCCCTTTGACAAGGTGATTCATGAATGGCAAGGGAAGTTACTCTCTTTCTGGGAAGGAAAACGTAAAAAGGACCAAAAAAATGTTGCCACTGAGTAAGTTTAGTTGAACCACCCTGACCTACAACATACAATGCAGTCATCTTGTTGCAGAAATTAATTTTACAGGAAAGCACAGAGACAGTTCGGAAAAATGGCAATTAAAACCAGTATGGATGTTTAGAAAAGAACTGGATACAATGGGGTTAGCCCCCCGTGTGGGTTCCGGGGACTCATTGTAGGGGAAAACAAGAATAGACCCACTGCCTTCCCAAAAGCATGTCGTAAGAGTCGACTAATTGGGGAGCCTCCTTTGAAGTCGGAGTGCATCTGCCGGAGAGGCAAGGAACCAACAGTCTGTATTCAAGAGAATAAGATCTGTAAAACTGATGCACACGCAACACTCAGGTTCTGGAGCAGGACTGCAGTTCAGTAGTGAACGAGCAACCAGAACTTTTCGCCAGAGTGTACAGCTGGTGAACGCGAAGAAGAAGAAGAATGGGGTTAGTACTGAAAGCAGAAGAAATATTTATTCCAAGGACAGACAAGAATGGATTTAAGCTGTAACTAAAACTAGCAAACAACTTTAAGACTTTGCAAAAAAACAACAGCATCAAATATGAGAAATAAATCACCAAGTATCTACTGAAAAAATTCACCACCTGGTCTATGCAAATATGGGTCCACCATCATATACCGGATACCACGGCATGAAAAAGGTCCTTTATTCATTTTTATTTTTCTTCTTCTGCGTTCACCATCAGCCATGCTAAACATTCAGTCCCATCTGGTTCAAAGTGCATCTAAGGTCGTTGCCAGTCCCCCCACAGCTTCTCTTTCAATGTGGCTTCATTAGGTGAGATCCACAACCTTGGCCTGGAGTAGCTAGGGCAATCCTCTAGTACACGCTCAAGTCTTTCTGCTCCCTCTTTCACAGGTGGCAGATTTTATTTTTTCTATGCCTATTTTACGTAGGTCTGGTTGAAGCCTAAACACTGGTTTTTTTTTGGGGCTTGTTTTTTTGCTGTTAAGTTTATACTGTCGCACTCTGGTCTGCAGTCTTCATTCTGCCATCTTCACTTCCCCATTAAAGACTTTTTAAAGACCAATTTGGTACCTCTAAAGCCATGTGCTGGACGAGGTTGTGGAAGATAACTACCAGCTCATCTGCTCTCTTCTCATGGATTATCGCTTATTTTCTCTAACTATACATCACCAAGGATATGTGTTCTTCTACACAAGCCTATTCCTGACCCATAAAATACTTTTCAAGAAATATTAAAAAATGTGTACTTCATTAATAAAACAATTCTTTGATGTAAACAAAAAAAGACATTAATTCTTCTCTAAAATGAACACGGTGTTTCCCCATTTTAAATTTGGACAAAGAAGACACAAACGACAGATTGCACAATATATTGCCTGGCACATTTCGCTGTATCGTTTCACGTGCATACTACAGTAACAATTCATAATAATGAGGTAAATAAATGAATACTTCCAAATGAAATTAAAATCAACTACACTCAAAGATAAATGCCTGTTTTACCAGGACAAACTCAGGTTCCCGACCATATGTGTTCTGCCCGCACAAATCTTCTCTAAAAGCAGAAAACTGAATGTCAAATGTCAAACTATGAATAATGTAATTAAAAGAAACAGTAACAAGAGAACAATATATTAACTACCTATGTTAACATTCACAAAAACACATGCCTAATTATTACAGAGCTACAGATTAACTTCCAATTTCTAAAAATAATTTGTATCCAACAAAAGATATACAAGAGACATAATGAAGGTATTAAGTACAGTATTAATTATATTGGCATAATTCCTTCAACAACTGAACAAACATTTCAAGAAAATAATCTGCTTAAAGATTCTAGTTATCTAACAAAGCATGAAAAAAGCTCAAGAAATAACACACACTAATGTAAAGCACCAGAGACATGTGTTCGTATAAATATGTTCATACGCTGATCATGCAAATAACATAACTTTAAACATATACATAGCTCCGTCTGCTGACTTCTACAAGTGGCTTCAAGTGAAAGTCTTGCTAGGGTGCTAACTTGTCTACTGGCAACTCATGATGACACAAGCACGTAGATCATGCTGGAAACAAAAAAAAAAGTGGGATCTGATGGTAATTGCTTTAGATTTACAATGTGTCCCATAATTTTCCATACATGGGAAAAAAAAGAAACATAAATAACATCATTACAAGCATAATTCCAGCGGTGCTTATATGTGTTCTTCAGCAATGTGTTATCAAAACAACGGTATTTTTCATATGTATGGAGTCTCACACTCTCTGTCTATCTGTGTGTGTGTGCATGTGGGTGTGTATATATACTGTTCTCCCTAAGCAGTTGCAATCTGAAAGACTGGTACCCAGCAGCTTAAGTCCTTAATGTGACTATTCACTGTAAGTCACTATTCAGATGCAAATCCAATTAACCTGGTTCAACACAGTTATAATGGGGCGCCAGCAGTTACAAAGTAACCTGCAGTCTAATGCAGGTGGGCTCATGTATTCTTACTACAGTTGCTGAGTTTGATACTGCAGTGTGAGGCTGAAAGAGGTTTCAGTGTCTGACTCTCAGGCACTCAGTGTCTGATGTAGTAGGCGCCATGGCAGTCAGATCTGCTTCCCAGCTCTCTTCTGGTAAGGGTAGAGGAGCTGACCCCATGCTCAACCCTCCTCCTTTCTCATCCTGACTTGGGACCAGCAATGATGAAGAATATAAAAACTATAGCAAAATACTGAATGAAATACACCCAAGATAATCTGATGTCAAGGTAAATATTAGGCAGTTTTCTTTTCTACTTCTTTAATTCATGTAAGAGACAACACAAAAACTATTAAGTTTACAAACATAAGAAATAATCAAATGAACCGGGCTTTGTCTTTACCGCCCATATATGCACATTTTTAGGGCAGTGTAGGATGTAGGAAAGGGTCCGAGCCTGAGGATTTGGGGCGGAATGGCTAGATTTGAACTTCGGTCTCTCAAATGACAGCCAAGCATTTTTAACCGCTCAGCAAACCACTAACTGAGGTCAGCTAACTAATGTGTTTGAGGAGCTGCACTACTCAAGTGGCGAGCCTTTCCCAGTGGTGGCCTGTGGTCATACATTGGAATCTCAACATAGGTAAATGTGTAACTGACCTGGACCTTTACTTCTTCTCTCTCTTCAGTAACCTCATCAAGGTGGTGTTTTTGTGTGTGTGTGTTTTTTTTTTTGTTAAAGAAAAAATAGAAAAGACTTTCAGTGTGCTCTTTCCAGTGCACTGTGTAAGTTATTATTCATTTCTTTATGGCTGTTTTTGAAGCCACTGCTCCATCTTTTGCAAAGTCTGCATTCATTAGATTTCTCCAGTATGGCTCTACCTGTGGCAGTTGATAATAGGTAATTCTTGTCAAATGGCCAAATCATCTCATTTGACCCAGACAGCTGTCCCAAATTGAGACCTTCATCTAGGAAAATGTCAGAACTGAACTGGTCCTTCAGGTCAACCTAGCCTCAAATAAATACCAGGTCAGTCCAGGATCTTATCGATGTGATTCATGGACTCTTATTCAATCAGTTAAGAAAACAACCTGGACTCTTATTCAATCAGTAAAGAAAATAATCAGAGCTTCTGATATGAAATGTTACAGAACAATTCTCAGAATAACATGGAGCAAGAAAAAGAAAAACATTGACATGCTGGTTGATGCGAGCACTGAGGAGCATTCGTTCATCAACAGCAGCAGCCTGTCGTGAAAGCTGAGGTTTTTTTCAGCATGTTAAATGTCATGGTGGTCTCGAGAAAAAGTAATGGAGGGTCGGGGTTTCCGGAAAATGAGGCAGAGGCAGACCTCCAGGAACGTGGGTACAAGACATGGAAGATGCTGTTGCAATGAAAGGGCACAGGGCTGGAGAACTGGCTAGAGAAAGAGAGACTTTCAGGTGTGCTGTGACGAGAGCGACATCCTTTAAAGCATCTGCATGTTAAACTTTATGGTAGCCTGCAGAGAGCGGTGGCGGAGGGTGAAGTTTCTGGAGAATGAAGCAGAGGCAGATCTCTGTGAATGTGGATACAAGACACTGAAGATGCATTGGCTGTGAAAAACACAGAGGGCTGCAGAATCGGCTAGAGAAAAAGAGACTTTGAGGTACGCCGTGATGAGAGTGACGTTCTGTACTGGACTTGCTGAATGATGACGAATGTTACTGGAACTGAAGGTCGCTTGTGCCAGATGAAAGGTTTGGTCATCAGGGCTTCTGTATTTCCTCAAGCCTGGTTGGCTGTCATCCAATATCTTGTTTTCTTCCAGAAAATTAAGTAACCTGTTGTTCACTAATCATTTCCATGGTCTTTCCAAGGCAGCTTAGGAGGTTTACGGGGCAGCAACTGAATTTGTTTTCCTTGGGCTTTCAGGACTTTCTGCCTCCATCCATTCCTTTTGGAAGCAGTCTGTCCTTGGGTCCAGGACTGACTGATAAGGTCTAAGAGTCGTTGCTTACCAGCTGGTCCAAAAATGTACTTAAGAGTCGTTGCCTACCAGCTGGTCCCAAGTGTACTATCTTCTCATTTGCTATTCGATCAGGTCCAGGTGCCTTCCTTTTCTTAAGTTTTCCTAATGTGCATTTAAGTTCTCAGGGGCTGAAGAGTTTATTTATTATACCTTGGTTACTGTCTAGGTTTTTATTGGATTTCCTCAATTCTCTTGGCACTTCTTCTTCCGCTCCACATATGAAGATTTTGCATTCCTCAGCAAAACTATCAGCCAGCAGGTTTGCTGCTTGTTTACCAGCAAAAGTTTTCTCACCATCTTCAGTGACAGTTTTGGCATAGCTAGTATGTTTCTCCTCATTTAGACTCTTTACTAGATGCCATTAGTTTTTGCTGTTTTTCTCCATGTTGAGAGCAGTTGTCTTTTCCTGCCATCTTTTCTCGAAGCATGTGAGTTTTTCTCTTCTATAAATAACCTGAAGTTTGTTGTGTTTTGTTTGGCTGAGGTCAGAGGAATCTTTTCCATTTGTGCATTTGCTTCTGTGCTTTTTTGTGTGCAGCTGTTGCAGTTCTCAAGTCCAGAAGGATTCATAGTTTTCCCTTCAACCTCAGGGGACTGCATTTTGTGCTGCTTCGAGTATGATACTGGTAAGAGTTGTGGGTTTTTTTTTTTTTCTAACCTCATTCACTGGAAAGGGCTCCGATAGATTCTTTTCACTTAAATTTTTGTGCGGGTCCCAGTCTGCTTTCTTGTAGCTGACAGGATACTGACCGTATCACCCACTAAGTGCCAACTGGTCAACAAAAACAAAGGGCTAACACCATATGCCTAAGAAATTATACTGTCATTTACTTTTAACTTACTTATGTTTTTTTAAAATTTGTTTTAATACATTTACCCATTGATGGCTTTGTCCTCTCTGGGCTGCCACCTCAAGGTTTACCATATCATCCTCAGATTTAAAAGTCTCCACCTGGACAGCAGAACAACAAGGCAGATTCCGGATACCCTGTTCAACCTCCAAAGAAGTTATAATGAGGGCTCCTGTAATAGATACCCACCAGCCAGCTGTCACCTGCAGCCCTGTGCGGGTAAGGATTATGTTTTAATACAGATAACACAATAGACCTATTAGCAGCTGTGAAAACATTCTTCAGGGAAAACAGGCAAACTATTTCTGTAAACATGAAATCAGAGATGGTTCTGGCATACCTGTACAGGTAGTAGAAAAATGAAATGAGGTAAAAGCCCAGTTTGACCCATCCTTCTTTCTGTGCCCTCCCCAGCTCATCTGCATTCATGATGGAAGTGGGGTCATAGAGACCCATCCCACTCATCACAGGGCGGTTCATGTACCTGAAGTCAAATAAATGTGTACAGACATAGCAAACACAGGTTGTAACAAACAAGATTACAATACAAGATAGTTTATCTGATATCAATACATTACCCTTTATGACATGTAATTAAAATGAGTTATTACATAAGATAAGATCTACAGGAGTGAAAAGAAGAGACAAAATCAGGAATGAAGTCATACAAGTACAAAGTTAGCACAGAATCAATTCTAAATTACTTACAAAGACACCAAATCAAACGGTCTGCCCACTCAGACAGAGTGCTTTGCGTTGAGTCAAGAATTGACTTCACAGCAATCAGGCTATTCCCATGCATGCTCTATCCTCATTTTTAGCAGCCAGAGCAGAGTTCCAATACTGATGGTACCAGTCACAATCTGGTTATATGTCCGTCTTGCCTTTCCTCTGAGTGTAGTGAGCCAGCCAGATCCTCTGATTACACCCAGGTGCCTCATTCTTTCCAAGCCATAATAATCTTCTTTCTCTACTGATTCCGTTGCTTTGAGAGAATGCTTTGTGAGGCTATACCATACAAGGCATTCAACAAGAGAGGAGAAGGCCATATCTAGCACCACGGCAGATTGGGAACAAAATAATAGCAACAGGCATGGTATCTGGAAAGGGGAGGGGCCAACCAGCATGAAGATGGGCAGAGGATATAAGTGACAGCTGGGGTAAGAGAGTGCAGGAAGCGGAAGAGCTGGCGAGAGTTTCTTTCAGGCAGACCATGGTGAGAGTGATGTTCTGTATATAACATGATGATAAAGAGAAAAAAGGCAAACTATGTTCTTTGGTCAGGCAATGAAAAGAGAGACACTGAAGAACACCGCAGTGCCTGGAAAAATCAGTGTCACAACTGATAGAGACAGGCCTAGAAAAACACCACTAGATGTAAGCGGTGCCATGGAGGACTGTCAAAGGAAATCATCCAGAACACTAAAGACTGAAATCGGAGGAGAGACACGAATTTGCATCTTCTGTTTTCCATCTTCCCTTGCAGCGCATCTTTATGCGTCTTAATGATCAGGAAAACAAAGCCCTCTGTGCAGCAAGTTTATCTGTCTAATCCAGTGATTCCCAATTTTTTTCTTAGTCGTGGGGCTTTTTTCAATTAAAATTTTTCCACAGCGCCCTAACCTAAGTAAAAGTATGACTATTTGTATGTCAGAAATAACAATTACAACCAAAAAAAAAACTTGTGCATCTTCAAATATTTTGCGGCGCCCCTGTGAACAGGTTGCGGCTCCCCAGGACGTCGCGGCACAGTTTGGGAATCACTGGTCTAATCTATTCCAGTGCTCAGAGATAAATTGTCTTGTGACTTCTTGAACACCTCTTTTTTTTTAAAAATCTATGATAGTCTTCTACTTGGTTTTTCTCCCAAACATCTGATCTGAAGTTTCTCAATACATGAAGAACATATGTTGTTCACATAATGCCTTGGATTTTCTCTGGTTTCTTTTTACAAGTGCTAATTTCATCTACACAAGCATTTCTGATGTCAAGTTTAGATTGGTTAGCAGAAAGATGAATATGTAGCTGATTTGCAGACTAAAGTTATATCATGATGTCTCAATAACAGTGTATATTTATATATATCTTTCTCTGACTCTCTCTCTCTCTCTCTCTCTCGCTCTGTGTGTGTGTGTGCGCCCGGCTTTTCTTTAAACTTCTTTTTGTGATGTAACACTCAAAGAACACACTGAATATTACAAATTACCTCCATATGTCAAAGAACACTCAAAACAAAACATTGATGTAAAATAAATTATGACAAAAACCTAAAACAAAATGCCTTTGTAATACAAATTTATTCCATATATTACAGAATGCTCAAAACAAAACTGATGTAACACAAATTACTTCCAATATCTGAAATAAAACTCAAAACAAACCGCTGATACCATACAAATTACTTTCATATCTAAAACAAAAACCACACACACTCACACAGAGAGAGAGAGAGAGAGAGAGAGAGAGAGAGAGAGAGAGAGAGAGAGAGAGAGAGAGAGAGAGAGAGAGAGAGAGAGAGAGAGAGAGAGAGAGAGAGAGAGAGAGAGAGAGTGAGAGAGAATGAATGAACAAACTATTTTTTCAAAGGGTCACAAATTGGGCACACAGGCTCGTCTTACATTCTGCCCTTCCAAACCCAAAAGCATAAGTGATAAAATGCACGCACACACTCGCGCTCGCCTACCCACTCACTTAAACACGCATATATACACACCCACATTCATTCACACACACACAAACACACCCCCATTCACCGACATACATACTTGCTTACCCACACATACATGCACATTCCACACACACATACATGTAGACAGATACACACATGCACACACAGACACATCCACAGAAACAAACGTAGACACACACACACAAACACACATACACTCACAGACACAAACACACACACACCACACACACAGACACACACAAGCGGAGACACAAATAAACATGCACAAACACACAAAGATGCAGACACACACACAAACACACATAGATACACGCACACAGACACCCTCGCAGACACAACACACACGCTAATGCTCACACAGACGCACACCCACACACACCCAGACGCATATGCAGACATACATACACACAGGCACACACACACATAGATACATGCACACCGACACACTCGCAGACACACACACACACGCTGATGCTCACACAGACACACACCCACACACACCCAGACGCATATGCAGACATACATACACACAGGCACATACACACATAGATACACGCACACAGACACACTCGCAGACACACAAACACACACATGCTGATGCTCACACAGACACACACCCACACACACCCAGACGCATATGCAGACATACACACACAGGCACATACACACATAGATACATGCACACAAACACACTCGCAGACACACACACACACGCTGATGCTCACACAGACACACACCCACACGCACCCAGACGCATATGCAGACATACATACACACAGGCACACACACAGATACATGCAGAAACACACAGAAAGAACAATATTCGTGTGTTTTCAAATTACTTCTGTATATGACCCACACAAACTCAAACCAAAAAACTGATGTAATACACAACTTCCATACCTGAGAGAACACTTAAACAAAACATTGATGCACACTAATTACCTCCGTATGTGATAGATGATAAGTGGCAGGTTAAACAGCACTGTACCAAGTTGCAGAGCTATCAGGAACAACAGCGTAAAAAACATATGGATGGCATATTCTGGAATCACCAACTGAAAATATATTTGTTTTTACAGAATAAGTTTCAAGGAAAGGCATGGCAGCAGTTCAGTGAGTGGTAGTATGTAAAACGCAAACATTTTATTATTCGAACACAGAAGACATAAGCAACTTCAGCTTCTTGCATGCCTGTGTGTTCTTAGCTTATACCCATACACCCTCTTCTCAACCTATGACTTATGCGACTTGTGTGTGTTGTCCATGAAGATGATGACGACGACTCTTTTTCATCAAATATGAGTACGAAGATGACTAATGAGGCCAATGCTGGCCCAAAAAGTTCTTGGACAGTGAGGCATGGAACTCGGGTGATGAAAGAGTGACTTGCGAGGTGACCTGGATTAAAGTGAGGAAGAGTTGCGCAGTATCGTCGACCTCACTCTCTCGCCTGAGTCATATCTGGATCCAAAGGCAAGACAGAGTCAAGATGACTGGAGATAGGTCTAGGTGCAGTGGATGACCAGGACGTTCTACGTGCCTCGCCATGCTCTTTGCGCTCCACAGTGCTTTGCTAGTGTCACCTTCCCGCCTGTTGAACCGATGTGGTTTCCTCCGCGCCCTCTGCCAATAGTAGTCTTTGCATGCTTGGATAAGCTGATCCTAACTCACCATTGATTTTAAAAAAAAATAATTGGCTACCCTCACCTGGTTTTGCCGGCCTGTCAAAGCTGTTGTCCGGGGGGTGCCCGCTGTTGCACTTATGACCACAAAGGCTCACAATCCCCTGCCCCTTTTCCCCACGGTCCTAAAAAACTCTAAAATTGGTAAGCACAAGCAGTAAAAGCAGTTATTCATGAACTCTTCTCTGACATACACTGACCCATGTTGCTCCCCATGTGGGTTCCAGGACCCCATTTTGGTGCAAATAAGGACCCCCCCCCCCCCCCCCCCCCAAAGGCATGTTGTAAACGGTGACTAATTAGGGATGTGTCCTTTGAAATCAGAGTGCATCTGAATGCGAGGTGAGGAACCAACAGTCTGCATATAAATAAGTCAAATCGGTGAACATTAATAAGTAGAACAAGAAAAATAACTCTATGGCATGCAGATCTCCGTATATTGATCCAAGCTGCTATTTCTCTGTACACAACAAGCCTGCTTTTGTTGGCTACAGATAATCATATTTTGCTAACAATAGAAACCATAAAATGTGCAGCAATAAGCTTCTTTTAACAACATAATGATGGGATAAGTGATAAAATAGACCTCAGCACATGGTGGTGAAAGAAATCCATAATTTTAGCTCAATTTTCTCTGGGAATTTATGAATGTAGACACAAATAAAATGCTCAAAGCACTTAAAACAAAGAAAAAAACATACACACATTAAAGCTCAATTTATTTTCTTTACAGAAGGTGTATTGAGCAATGAGATAATTGACAATAAAAAAGACTTTCATGATGCTTTATTTTCAACTCATTTAGTACCAGGCAACAACAGATGTGTTTAATGATTTTTAGTTATATGATAATAAACAGTAGCTGTAGCTAGTCTTGGATTCTGAAATATTGTGGCCATATCAAGCGCTATGGCGGATTATAAAAGATAATAGCAGAAGGCATGGAGCCAGGAAGGAGAAGCAGGAGCCGACCAACATGAAGATGTGCACAAGATATAATCAACTCCTTGGGTATGAAAGTATGTCAGGCGGGAGAGCTGGCGCGAGACCAAGTTTCTTTCAGGCAGACCATGATAACAGCCACGTTCTGCAAAGGACCTGCTACATAAGGATAATGGAATACACAATATGGGATGAATTCAAGAGGGGGGGGGGGGGGGGAAGAAATAATAAAAATGTTTAGGCAACAACTGGTAACAACAGTTATAAGAAAAAGAAGATGGCACTCTACTGGACATATCCTGAGAAGACGTGAACAGAGAATCACCAAACAGGTACTGAAATGGGAAATAAAGGGACTAAAGAAGCCAGGATGCCCATAAGTAAATCCTAAAATAAATATCAATGAGAGGCGCCACAGGTGCTGGACAACTGCATCCAATGATATTGAAGGAACTGCATAGAAGGGAGACAGAATGGAGGAATATACTGTGAGTCTGATGTGACATTTAAGGGTACAACTGAATGAACAATGATGATGATGATGATGAGTTACATGGTCGATTGCTATCTCACAGTAATTAGGGGCAAAACAGTGGTTTTTGAGCTGAAATACTACTGAAAGATTCTCAGAATACCACAGAAAAAAAAAGAGGAAAAAAAAACAACATCAGAACATCAAGGAAGATTGGTTCATAAACAACTTCCTGTCTTGAAATATTTTGGCAATATTAAACCCCACATTGGACTGGAAAAAACAGCAACAGAGGGCATGGTACCAGGTAAGAGGGGCAGGGGCAGAGGGCACAGGATACAGGAGACACCTCAGGTTGAAAAGAGCTGGTGAGAGATCAAGTGTTACTTTAGGCTAGGCTATGATGGGTGTGATGTTCGGTAAAAGACCTGCTACACAGTAGAGTTGGGTGATCTTTTCTGAACACATTCCACGAAATCCAGTTGTTACTCTAAACCCAGCCTTTTCCAGTTGTTACTCTTAACTCCTTTTGCATCATAGTGTTTTACTCTGATCCCTGTCAGTTCCAAAAATTTATAAATTACAATAACAACTTCTTGCGACAAAACAAGTTAAAAATAACACCTGACTAGGCTAGTGGATAACGAAAAATCTCTGACACTAACCCAACTGCATGACCTGAGAGTACAGCAACCTGAAGTATACCAACATTACAAATGAATGTTCAGAAGGATCAGTGGGAGGTGGCAGGATAATGTGAAAGCATTCTTCACCCCTTCACAGCTAAATTACCCGTTTAGTAGATTCAGGTTAAAAGGGTTCATATGAAGCACTGTGAGGGCCAGTGTGGTGTAGCTGTTAGACACTGGCCTGTGGAGATGAAGGTAATGGGTTCAGGTCAATATGGAACTGGACTTTGCATAACAAAATATCCTTGGCTCCCAGATCAACCCAGCCTTAAGTCCTAGAAAGTAAAGGTGGCTGACGTGATGGTGACCACATCATCCATCGAGTGCCGATGCTCTATCAAATACAGGTATAGTCCCCCTATGCCCAATACACTTGAAGGCATAAAAAGAGTCCATTATGAACTATGCAATTAGCATATGGAGCCAGGTTGTGTAGAAACTTGTAAATTCTAATGCTGGCTTAACGATTCCAGATCCACATTCTTTTGCTTATTCCTCTTGTTCTAAATGTTCATCAGCTTTAAACTCTGCCAGAAAATTCTGGGTATTTGTCCATTTTTGGACTTTGGTCTTGTTCCAACTTGAGATTTGCATGCAAATCCATTTTACAGTTCTATTTTACAGACTGTTGGTTCTTCACCTGCCAGGCAGGTGCACTAATTAGTTGTCTTTTATGACATGCTTGTTAAGAGTGGCAATGAGTCTATTCTTTTTTCCTCCAAACTGGGGGAGGGGGCAGATTCTACATGGAGAAAATCCTCTTTCAGGAGGGATTATTTTTCATGACGACATGGCTTCGGGGTTAACAAGATCTGGAGAGAAACAAAGACTGAAAGAAAGAAAGAAAGAAAGAAAGAAAGAAAGAAAGAAAGAAAGAAAGAAAGAAAGAAAGAAAGAAAGAAAGAAAGAAAGAAAGAAAGAAAGAAAGAAAGTAAAGGGAGCAAAAGCAGCTGCAGAGCACCAGAAACAAAAACAAAACAAAAAAAGGAAAAGGAAGAGATAAGAAAGTAAGAAAAGAAGAAGAAAACGCATATGTACAACATCTGCCTCCAGTAAAACAACTTACAGGATTCAAGCTGTTGCACTGGTCTATAGGATTTTTATAATCTGTCTTGAGCTCATCAAAAGCAATGATCTGAAAACATACAAAGAGGAGATGTTAGCCAGAGACCAATATACTTCAATAAAAATATCTTATTGATAAAAAGATGATGGTGTACAAAGATAACTTGTGTGTTTTTACATTTACTAGAGGTCAGTACAGAGTTTTCACCAGTCTGAAACTAGTATCACTATCAGAATTAGCATCATCACTGAGTTAGTCAATCCAAAGAATGGTGTTGTCTAAAGACGTGTACTGTGTTCAAAGACTGCGAAGGCAGGTGTTGAGTTTAGTGTTGTCTAAAGACGTGTACTGTGTTCAAAGACCGCGAAGGCAGGTGTTGAGTTTGGTGTTGTCTAAAGACGCATACTGTGTTTAAAGACCGCGAAGGCAGGTGTTGAGTTTAGTGTTGTCTAAAGACACATACTGTGTTTAAAGACTGCGAAGGCAGGTGTTAAGTCCAAAGACTGGTTTTAAGTTCATAGCCTAATGCAAAGTCCAAAGACTGGTGTTGGTTCTAAAGAAAATGAGACCCACCTGTGGCCACTACATTTTTTCTAGTAGATTATGTTGTGCAGAATACATTTGCTTGACAAGCAACTATAATTTGAAAAATTATGTTTGTGCCATCGGCTCAATAAAGGCAGGTGATATTTACATCTACTGTTGTCTTTATGAATATTACGTGATGGGACCCCAATCTTCCACGGTGCAACTCTCGTACTGCTGTCCAAAAACTATAAAAACAGGTGTTAATTTTTTTTTTAAGTTCTATGCTTTTTTTTTTTAAATAAACTGTTCACCGTTGAAATTGGACCCTAGTATTCAAGGATTATGCAGACACACTTACAAACATTTTGAGTCATTAAGAGGGAAGAGAAAGCCAATTACAGATAAATGGAGGTGGGTGCTATCTGCAGCAGTAAACCTCAAGGAATCTGAAAGCCAAAGAAGAATACCATTTCTTATAAGGGAAACAAAGAGTGTAACACTTTAAAGTACCATAACTGTTGTCAGAATAAGAGACGACTAAGCAGTAGTGACAAAGAGATTATCCACTCAAAAATACAACCAAACAATTATAAGTCTACAAAGGACTTAGCACGAGTTGGGCGAGGCAATGTTCTGTTTGGAAATGAAGGACAGAAGAAACAAAAATCTTCAGATAAACTGCCTAAATCTTGAGGTGAGTCATCATAAAGGTGTCATTCTCACCTCTTGGGGTGAGGGGCCTGAAATCCTATGTCAGCCTGAAAGATGTAAAGACCAGGGTCTGTTTTGAAGACAAACAAGGATGGACTCACTCCCCCCCCCCCTCTCTCCCCAAAAAACATGTCAAAAAAGGCAAATATTTAGGGGTGTTTCCTTCAAAATCGGAGTGCATCAACCTGAGAGACAAAGGAACCAAACTTTGCATAAAAATAAACCAGCTTTGTAACATGGATGTGCATGCAAACACAAGTTCTGGAACACCAAAGTCCAGAAGTGGACGGACATCCAGAACTTTCTGCCAGAATTTTCACCCAGTCAACACTTAGGAGGAAATACTGTAGCCTACTACTACCATAGTGAACAATGTGCCTATTGCATATTTAATGACGAAACCAGAAGAAAAAGAACAATATTCAAGGTTTTTTTTTTTAAAGAATCTGCAGTGGTTTAAAAATATTCATCACAGAGTTATTTCGGTAGGAATTACAAAAAATGCAAATGACAGATTCTACACTGAACTAAACGCAGCCCTGAGTCAACTTCACACGCAAAAGAAAAAACAATGGAATCATGGCACGCCCAATAGAAACGGTTATCGCCAGTTCTAAAGCCACAAAAGAGAACCTATCAAACAAGCCGCCATCTTCACGGACAGCTCAACAACAATCGCCAGACCTGATAGACAGCCACGATGTGACCCCGCCCATTCCCGTTCCAGGCTGCACCAGGAAAAAAGCAGCCCTTCTTAGGGCTGCCCCACCCACTCCCAAAAAGCCGGACTACACCAGCCAAGCCTGATCGAGCAGACATGACGCAGCAGCAAACACCTGAACTTAGGCGAGAAATGATCGCCACAACAAATTGAACTAAATCAGATAGCAAAGAAATCGTCCTTAATAAAGCAGGCCTTAGGGCAGCTGAATGAGAACCAAATTTGACATTTTTGTTTGGTTTCTACGATTACGATTACGAAAATGCAATTGTTCCTCTATGTGATATTGAAATGAGTTAAAGTTAGTTGTGTATTCTTTACAGGACATTGCAGAACCAACCCCAGCATTTTTTTTTGGCTGTTGTGGTTTTTCTAGGCAAATTTACGTCCAGTACTACTGGCAGTAGTTTGCCACTGCTTTCTGGATGGTCGGCTTCTCGATACCACTGTCGAAACCAACGCAAGGCTCGCAGCTGGGATCGAACCCGGCACCCTAGCATTATGAAGCATGTTCACAACGCCTACACCTTAGACGCCGACACTGAAATGAGGAGATTAGTCATATACTCGGTACTGAGTACTAATGTACTGTGTCTCAATGTACAGCCAAGCAACAATTTGCGGTCTTTTCGGCAAGTTCCGTTACCCGGGAACCGTTCAGAACTTGTTCGGGAAATCTCGGCTGGTTTCCGTATGGGTCCAAATCTCTCATGAAATTTTGCCATTGGTGGGAATTTGGACCAGCTATAAATAGCTGAAAACAGCGTGGGGGAACCCGATTAACAGCGCATGTCTACGACAGCCGGACTCCTCTGTTTTTCTGTTAGTCATCAGTTTGATTAAAAAAATAGCGGTAAATTCGAGGTTGGCTTTAGGCCTTAAACATTACCAGTTGTGGTAATGCTAGTTACAGTTGAATTCTCCGTCCATTTTACATTTGCATATTAAATTTTTTTTACGACTCTGGCTGTTTAGATTTACAGTGACATTTTTTTAGGCAATCGCATGCGGCTGAGTGAGCTGAGTCTCACTGCCTGCCATCTTGTCCAATGACAGTCCAATGTCAACAAAGCCGATACAGAACTGCGCAGTAGGTTGCGCAGTCAAAAAACTTCTTGTTTCTGGGTCACAAGTTTTAGCGGCTGTTTCTTACATCTCATCTCCACAAAAACCTACATATCTCAACTCAGAAATGACATAGAAGCCTAAATGAGGTACCATTGGAAAGAGATTGTTTACAGCTATCTAACTGTGCTGGTTTTATTGGTGTAGAGGGCATTTTAAAAATTTGACTGAAGTACCTAGTTAGAGCGAACCTGCACAGAAATGAAATGTCCGTCAGCCGCTACAGTCCGCTACACAGTGTGTGATTTACTGGGTCGGGGAAATGAGCACTTATTTACGGACTCAATGCAGAATGGCTCGATGCCCATGTGCAATAAGTGAATAAGGATGGGATGATATAAAGTATAAATAAGGATAAGCAGACTAATGGACTATACTGTACAAACCGCAATTTGGCAATAGTAATTAGTATAGTATCATTATTGACATTATCATTCGACACTGACTTCGCATTTTTATAAAATATCAATTACTGTGTGCCAGAAATCTCTAGTGTCGGTGTATTCTAGTACAGATCACAAATATTGAACCAACATGTAACTTACATGAAATATGACGAAAAATATTAGCACCGCTGTTAAAATTAAAGCTAGAATATAGCAGAACGCAGCAAACGTGAACGCCATTCTAACGGAAGCTGTGAGTATAGTATAACACAGTAGCTGCCCCTTAAACGTTCGTCCACACCCGCCTAGGACAGTACCTCCATTAAATTACTGAGGATCCCCATGTGCGTTCCTGGGCCCTATTATAGGGAAAACAAGAATAGATCCACTGCCTACCCAAAGGCATGTTGTAAGAGTCGACTAATCGGGTGCTTCCTTCAAAGTCGGAGGGCATCTGCCTGAGATGCAAGGAAACAGCAGTCTGCATACAAATGAGTCAGATCTGTAAAACGGATGCACACGCAACACTCAGGTTCTGGAACAGGACTGCAGTCCAGAAGTGGATGAACAACCAGAACTTTCCGCCAGAGCTTACAGCTGGTAAACGCGAAGAAGAAGAAGAATTACTAAGGAGATCGGGATTTGTCCTGCTGGGTATCCCGTGTCTGTTCCTAGGCCACATTTTGAGAGATTACTGATTTAATAATGGACATAATAGCACACCGGGCATACCCATCAATGCTCCGTCTCCTGCAGGAAATGTTTTAAGGTGTACATGCTAACTGTTCCCGTAGCACACTGATTACACACAGGTAGTTCTCTCCCTCGCATCCGTCCTTCCTTGTCGGATTCACACTTAATTCCTCGTTCCCGCATTCTTGCACATGTTATTTCATCTAATCTCGTGTCTTTCATATATATGTCTTCATAATCTCTCCCTTGTCCAGTACGAGTGTTCCCGTAGCTTTCGCTTCTGTTGCCAGAAAATCCGCTCTTTCATTCCCTCGCACTCCTGCATTCCCCGAACAGTATATCCACGTGATTCCCTGCAATGTTGGCGTACTAATGCATGGTATCCACTCATACCACATTAGTCAGTTTTGAATCTTCCACAATGCCGACTGGGAATCAGATACAATGATTCCCCTGGTAACTTTGAATTCTGCTATCCAGTTCAGAGCTGCAGTAATTGCCCCCACTTCCATCCTCATGCCTGAAGTTTTAGATTTAATAAAAAATTTTAAAAAACATCATTTCGTTCTGCCACAATTTTTCCCTTTCATTCTTGCTGAAAATCCCCAGCGAGGTCTTAAAGTCTAGAAGTTGTGAACGAAGAAGTAGGAGAAGAAATTTAGACTGGAATCCTGGATGCGACTCTTTGTGTCGCATGGTGGTCAAACTGAGGTAGCAGTCAGGAGAAGACAACAGGCAAGACTCAAAAGACTAATTAAAATTTTCAAAAAATACTGTTCTATTCAATAGCTGCTTCCTACAGCTGGACAGCACTGTTCACCAGAACCGGGCTCGGTGTAACCGTTACGTTTTTCAGGCTCACTTTTTCCCTTTAAAAAAAAAGATGCCGGTACTCACCATTCCTCTCGACTTCAACCTTTCAACTTGGTGCGGCAGTCTTCTTCTTCGCGCTTGCTGTAAACTTCGGCGGAAAGTTGTAGTTGTTTATCCGTCCTTGGACTGCAGCTCCGTTCCAAAACCAAGGGGTTAAGTGCACATCCGTTTAACAGATCTGAATTAACTTATGCATATTGTGGAATCCTTGCTTCTCAGGCAGATGCACTCCGACTTCGAAGGAAGCACCTAATTAGGTGACTTCTACATGTTTTTGGGGGAAGGGAATGGGTCTATTCTTACTTTTCCCAATAAGGGGCCCCGGAACTCACGCGGGTAGATGTGGCAGTATCGTGGGCTTATTTTTAAACTCCTTATAGTTAATTATTTCCGCCTCGAATAGTCGTTACTTTGACTCTTTCTATCCCATATTGTTTGTTGTTTGAATCCTTCACGCGTTACCCCTTAAGACGTTCGAATAATAACCGTACTGTACACTATGGGTCGCATGATTATCATAATTTCATTAACGCTTTCAAACTTTATCCTCATAAGGTTTGATTCTTAGTTGACGACTTCTAGCTGATCACGTGTCTCTCCCTCCCCCCCCCCTTTTTTTGTCATTTTTAACCTGAGAGGGAAGGAAGGGGTGGGGGGATGCATTTGACACCGGGTGACTTGGATAGATACTTTTCATGTGCGGATTCAACAGAAGCAAAACCAAGACATCCCATTCAACTGTATAAAACGAGCTTCCTACGGGTTATAATGGAACCTGTCTCTTATGGATTTTATCTTCTTCTTCCTCCTACACCGCCTTTAAGCTCCAGTGGAAAGTCCTGGTTGTTCATCCACTTGGACTTTGGCTTTGTGCCAGGACCTGAGTTTTACGTGTATATCCGTTTTACTGGCGAATTTGTGTGCAGCTGGTTGTTCCTTGCTGCTTGGGCAGATGCGCTCCGACTTCGAAGGAAGCCGCCGATTAGTCGACTCTTACGACATGCTTGTTTGGGGAGGCAATTGGTCTGTTCTTGTTTTCCCCCACAATGGGACCTAGGAACCCACACGGGGCTCCTATGGATTGAAATACATGTGTCCTATTTATACAATCTTTGTATGAGACAGATGTGTTGTTCAAGTGCTTGAGTATGCCCTGACTAAATTAAAGGTGTAGAAACATACATAACATGTTGACTGGTGCGCATGAGCAACATTCTGTCATTCATGGTATGTTGTTTGGTGCTTATAAGTTTTGTTACTCAAAGTCGTTATTTCTTAAATACAATGACTTATGGTATTCGTCTGAAGATTTCGTAATCAGCTCTGATATAACAGGTGAATTTTGTCCCCCGTAATGCTCTACATTCTCTCTCTCTCGCTCTCTCTCTCTCTTCTATTTTTGGGTGGTGTTATGTGCAGGGTCCTTTCCCTCCTCCTGAAAAATAAAGTGTTGGTAATCATTTTAAAAAAAAATAAAAGTTTTATTTAGCAAAATTAAGTTATTTCATTACAGGACGCTCCATTAGGTTTCAATCTGATCCTGACAGAAAAATCTCATTCATGCTTTGCACAGCTTCAACATCACCACTCCCACTCAAAGAAAATTTTAGACCTGACTACATGTATCTGCAACTGGGTATTGTGTTAGTGTGGAGTGCTAATACAATCATCATTATGTTCAAGTACCTTGT